CAGTGTGTCCCTTGACATCAGGCTCCGGCAGCCTGGTGGCCGTGTCACCTCTTCGTTTCAGCACCCACCCTCCCTTGGGAGTGATGGGAAGCAGCTGAGTCGTCCAGAGCCTCACACTCAGTGAGAGGAACTCTAAGACGGGAGGGCGCTATCCCCCTGGCTGTCACCAGCCACCTGGAGCCACTGGGTATGTAAACCGGGGCCAGCCCAATCTGAAATGTGCCATAATGTGCCAACCATACAGCATACCTCAAAGCCCTGTTACCAAAAAAGTAATTAGTAATTTTATATTATTGTTGAATACGGTAATATGAAACATCTTCAGTTGAAGAAAATATTAAAATTAATGTCACTTATTACTTTTGTATTTGTGAGACAGGCCCTTGCTCTGTCCCCAGGCTGGAGTGCAGTGGATCCCAGCTCAAGCCGTCCTCCTGCTGCAGCCTCCTGAGTAGCTGAGATGACAGGCACGTGCCACCACACCTGGCTACTTTTTGTGTTTTTAGTAGAGATGGGATTTCACCTTGTTGGCCAGGCTGGACTTGAACTCCTGACCTCAAGTGATCCCACCTCGGCCTCCCAAAGGGCTGGCTGTCACTTGTTTTTAAGTTATTAAATGTGCTCCTGAGAAGCTAAACTTTGCACAGGACTGGTCGAGACCCACCTTCCTGTGGCTGGGGCTGCCTCTTGAGTACCTGGAGCAGCTCTCAGTGAAAGGCAGGGTGACTGCGGCTGCCAGGTGAAGGCGGCCCCTCTCTGTCTCTCTCCCGGGAGTAGATGCCTTTTCTGTTGCTGAGGGAAGGGAGGTGCCTCTTGGTTCTGGTTTGTCACTTCCTGGACACCATATGGCTGTGGACAGCACTTCTCAGGGTATGCGCGGTGACGAAGACAGAGTGTCCTTGTGTTAGAGGCTTCCCTCCTCCAGACTGTCCATGGCAGAAGTGGGGTTGGGCACCTGCTGCCCAGTTTCCTCCACAGCCTTGATGGGTGTGAGCCAGAAGTGTGGGGCACGCTCGGGGGCCTCTAAAGTTCCAGCCAGGTTCTGTCCCTCTTCTGGGCTCCCAGAGGAAAAGCGCTCCTGTGCACTCTGAGCAGGGGCAGCCACCACGTTCCGTTTGCTTCCTGAGCTTGCGTAGGTGAACAGATTCCGGGTGAAGGTAAGACACGAGATGACTTGAGTGGGACGGCTGGCTTCCCACAGCAGAGTGTGGGCGAGGACCCTGATTTGTGTCCACACAAGTCCAGTGTGTGAGAAGGTAGCAATGTTTGCTTGGGTTAAAGGCTTGCCATTTGTAAAGAGTACTCATCAGCTGAAGCCTTCTTCTTCCATGACAGCTTAGGGATAAGTTGTCTTTACAGCTGAAAATGGGCACCTTTGGGGCTGTACCGTTACCATCTTAACATTAGTCTTTAGAAATGAATGCCACAGCTTGATGTAACGGCAGCCCAATAGTAAATGCAAAGGCATGGAAGTGCTCTTTGCTGTGTACGGCTGAATCCTCACAGGTTGACCTAAGCCCACACCTGTATTGCAAAGTCTGGGTGAGACCCGCCGTCCCCCATGAGCCTCTCGGGAGCCACCCCAAAGGGCTAGATGCCCCTAGTCTTCCTGCTGCCTCCCATATCCCTTCACCACACCCAGCCACAGCTTCCCACTTCTTTGTTCTGGGGCTCCTCACCCCAGCCTGGTCCTCCCTTCTCTGCTTGCGGGGCCCACCCATGAGCAAAAAACAGCCAGAGGGTGCCACGGTCACAGCACCCAACGAAGCCAGAACCCCCCCCCAGCAGAGAATGCCTTTTCAAAGGTGCCACTGAACTGTATCCTTGGAGGCAACCTCAAGCGACTGGCTCCGAGCAACTGGGCATGTGGTCCAGAACTGCGGTGCCCGGGCTCAGCCCTGGCTGAAGGCGCTGGACACCCAGAAGCCACCTGCACCTCGGGGCCAGCAAAGCGCAGAGAACCTGTCCTCAGGTGCGGAGGGACCAGTGTCTCCCCCAAGGCCACGGCCAGGCTTGGCCGCCCTTCTCTCGGACGGTGCTGAGGCCACAGTATTGCGGCCAGCAGGGGTCCAGTTCTCTAGGAAAGTCACGCAATGATCTGGATAGGAATTACACAGATGACGTGGCGGGTTTGCTCCTGTGCCACACTGACGTCCACACCAACAGCACCAGTTTTGACCACGTGGAGCTGCTGGCGGAGGGCGAGCATGGTGGCTGTTGCCCGCTGGGTGTTTTGCTGGATTAATGTAGACTGCTTTGTTCGCAGGGCTCCTTGTCGTACCCAAGCCAGGCCAGTTCTCCAGGTGGGACTGTAGTGTAGCCACCCCACTGCCGTGCGCAGAGCCTCAGGACTCGGACCCAAGGGAGTAACGAGGAGGAGCCCCACGCTGGGCCTGGGCCACACACGGGCGGCAGACCTCAGGCCTGGATGTCGGCGAGGGCGCGTGGATGGTGACCGGCTCGCTCTGCGGCGCGTGTTCCCGCTGCTCACCCAGAGAAATTGTTTCCATTTTTAAATTAGTCTTCTGGGGCTGCAGTAAAAAATAAGAAATGGAGTTTTCTTGCTTTTTACTCTAAAATTCAATGTAATTGAATCTCATATATATATATATATATATATATATATATATATATATATAATATACACATATATACATAGTGTAAAATAAAGTGTTTCTTGGACAAGAAATCCCCTGAAATTCAACTGTTATAAATAGTGCTTCACTTCGTTTTTGCACTGATTTTTTTATACCCTAGGTGGTCAGAAGACAACCTGGAATGCATTCATAGAGCAAGCTGTTACTTTCTGACTTAGTGTAATTCAGGAAGACATGCTGCAATCACAGAATTTTAAAAATTGTTTGCACTTAAACATAGTCGAATGCTGGTGGAAAGTTACTTTGCATCTGGGTGTAAAGGAGGCATGACCCTTGGAGGTGCAGAGGGAAGACGCCCTTTTTACCTGACGTTTACTTTAATACTATTGTTTCCAATGCAATCAACTCTGTATTATACGTATAAATAATGTAATTCTGCAATTGGGGAAGACAGTTACTTCACTAGTAATTTTCATCATTTAAGAGTGCTATTTCTAATTCACACAAAAAAATTAAAACTCTCTTGAATATAACAGTTGTTTTATCTTCTGTTACACTGGCTCAGTGTTTGCTGTACATTTTGGTGGCATGAATCGGTCGGTATGGAATGGTTCTGTCTTTTTCACCCCACGTTACTCGAAGCCCCTGGTCAGTCAGATGTGAGCCAGGCTGTTCGGGAACGTGACTCAGGAGGCTTTGGCTCCGTGGCCTCCTCCTGCAGCTGTACGTGTGCACACGGTTTCAGTGAATCATTTTTCCTTACAGCTTAGAGTCCTTCTTTTGTCATTGAAAGCCTGCGACCACACACAACACAGTTTCTATGGTGAGCATGAACGTGGGACATGAAATAGCTAATGAAGCTATTTTCCTGAGATTTTTCTTACTTGGTTGAGCATCTGTGAGCTTAGGGCCTCCCACACCTGCCCAACAAGTTACTAGCATCACAACAGAATGTGCAACTACCAAGGACAAGAATGTTTCTTGGTGGCCGGGTGTGGTGGCTCAAGCCTGTAATCCCAGCACTTTGGGAGGCCAAGGTGGGCAGATCACAAGGTCAAGAGATCGAGACCATCCTGGTCAACATGGTGAAACCCCGTCTCTACTAAAAATACAAAAAATTAGCTGGGCATGGTGGTGTGTGCCTGTAATCCCAGCTACTCAGGAGACTGAGGCAGGAGAATTGCCTGAACCCAGGAGGCGGAGGTCGCGGTGAGCCAAGACCATGCCATTGCACTCCAGCCTGGGTAACAAGCACGAAACTCTGTCTCAAAAAAAAAAAAAAAAGAGAGAATGTTTCTTGGTTTATTTTATTTTAGAGACAGGGTTTCACCATATTGGTCAGGCCGATCTTGAACTCCTGACCTCAGGTGGTCCACCTGCCTTAGCCTCCCTAAGTGCTGGGATTACAGGCCTGAGCCACCAAGCTGGGCCTGTTTCATTGTTTTTAAGGGTAGTCAAGTGAAGCAGCAGGAGTGGAGAAGGAATAAAGAAATCTGTAACTGGTTGTGATCAATCAGTTGTAAACCCCACTGCACTCGGACCAACCTGCTTCTTGTTTTTTAAAAAATCATATACAACTGGATCCTTTGAAAGCTTTACTTTGCGAGACTTATAAACCATGAAGTGTCTGAAACCTATTTCTCTGAGTGATCACATGAAATTGGGGGCATGTCTTTAATTTCAGGCTTTCGAGGGAAGTATGCTACATTTTCACCATTTGTATGAATGCAGCAACAGAAAACTTCACCTCAGCTCAGCCCTGGGTTTAGTTTCCTTCAGAGGAGAGATGAGTTACAGCTTGAGCTCTCAGCCTGCCCCACTCGGAGGCTCCAGCAGGGCCTCTGGATCCTGGGACCATGAACTATGGTGTGAGTCTTCTACAAAGAGAAATAATACAAGATACTGAGACTCGCTGTTTTAAATGAAAGAATCAGAATGTGTAAATTAGATACATGCAGAGTGACCTCTGTATTAAAATAAGATATCAGCACATTTTAGATACAGTACTTTGGTATTTCTGTCTTCTTAAAGTGCTGATTGCTAGGTGCTGTCAGTTACACAGGAAGCCAAACCCAGGGAGTCCAAAGCATCTACAGTGAACAGCGGGTGTATTTGGAAGTCAGAAGAAACTACCTTTGAAAATAAGCCTAGAATTATTTTCTTCTTAAGATAAAGTCTCACCTGTCATCCAGGCTGGAATGTCATGGTGCGATCATAGCTCCCAGTAGCCTCGACCTCCTGGGCTCAAGCAATCCTTCCACCTCGGCCTCCCCAGTAGCTGGGATCACAGGTGAGTGCCAACACACCTGGATAATTCTTTGGCAATCTTTAGAGACAGGGTCTCCTTATATTGCCCAGGCTGGTCTTGAACTCCTGAGCTCAAGCGATCCTCCTGCTTCAGCCTCCCAAGGTGCTGGGATTACAGGTGTGAGCCACCACACCGGGCCAGGTCTAGAATTCTTAAACCAGTCAGTCATCTTATTCTGTTTCCTGTCTGTCTGTGGGAAGTGGCAGGTAGAAATCTAACACCAGGACAATGACGATGTAAAGAGCAGTCTGGTCAGATGACCCAGCATGTCTGAAGCTTTCGCTGGCCCCAAGATAGCATCGCTCGTGCGGCATCACTCAGCCCGATCTGTCACCCTTCACTGGGTTCCGGAACACAGTTTGCATTGGGCCGTCGCTGTACTAATGCTGTCAGAAACGCCTGTTTACTATAGACGCATCTGTGCCAGGAATAAATCTTTATTTTTGTGGTGCTGTTCCTAAGATTGGTCCGTAGCTAAGTGGTCCAAGATGGCTTCCAAAATCTAACTGCCTCGTAACTGTCCCTGCCACTGCCACCATGGACCCAAGCATTCAGCAGGCCCGGGGCAGATGCTGCAAGGCAGCGTCAAGGCTGGCCATGCCCTCACTCAAGCGCCCTGAAAAGACGAGCTTCCCTGGTAAGATTTGGGTGTGCTTTTCCCACTCGTTGCCTTGTGCTGTCTTACACTTCCGGCATTGGGGAACGAAGCCAGGAAGAGGTGGGCTGTGCCAGGCGTGGGTCTGGCCGCCCCGTGGCAGGCTAGCTGCACCGCAGGTGTCGGGGCAGCAGAGCAGGAGATGGGAGGTCACAGTCGCGCTGCTGCCGCCTGTCACAGGAAGGTGAGCACCGTCTGAGTGCCGGATGGAGATGGCTGCTTACTGCATCTGCCCACACCACGAGCCCCCACCCCCACAGTGGGATGTGGGGCTCCTCTTCAGGTCAGGAGGGTGAAGTGGGTGGGCAAGGGTGGGTTCGGTGGGTTCACATGAGAAGGGCGGCGATGTAGCCGGGCAGCACACAGGTGCCCAGCAGAGGGTGGAGGGACGGACGTGCTTGAATGGGGTGGAGGAGGACGGGTGAGGCCTCGTGCTTGCTTCCGTTCTGGAGTTCTGTGGGGATAATTCAAGTACTTCAGTTGTTTTGTAGAGAGAAAGGAAATAATCCGGCCGGCCAGGCTCCGCAAGCTTTCCAGTTTGGGGCAGCAGAGGCGTTGCCAGGGCCCCGGCAGCAGGGCGAGGTGGCCTCCTGAGGGCTCTGCCGGCCTGGCCCCGCCCATCTCAGGGCCCAGACAGGCATGGAACCACACGCAGCTGAAGCGGCCTGGGGACCCAGTGCCTACTGCTGAGAGCAGGCAGGTGCGAGGTCCAAATCTGCAGGAAACTGCCACCCTTGGAATCTCCATCCTTGGACTTGGGAATCTATGTGGGAACCCTGCTGTGTGCCACAAATCCCCACCACTCCTCCGTGGAGAGGGCCTGTGGACCTGGCTCTGGTCCCCTGCCCAGCTCCAGCCTGGAGGCCCAGCTGCCAAAATCCAACTGCCTCGTAATTGTCCCCACAACTGTCAGGCTGGCGTGCCAGGCTCAACACTGCCTGAGTCCAACAAAACCAGGAGGGCCTCAAGTGGTGACATGCCAGGTCACCTGTGGGGACCCCAGCCCTGCTGCCCCCACCACGAGGTGACAGTCGGGACAGGGCAGCTGGTGTCCTGGGCACCAGCATCTGCAGACCACATTTGCTTTCTCAACAAGGCCTGCAGAGAACTGTAAAGACTTTCCCTTCATACTTTATACACTTAAAGGGAATAACACGTTTCCTAAGTACACAAACAATCCTTAAACATGCCCGACTTTGAAGCCAGGCCCGGGGACAGGGAATGCCCCTTCCACCCACCAGTCCCCTGCCCAAAGGTCCTGTTTCTGACCTGTGCCCCGCCGCCCCCACCTCCACAGCCTTCTGTCCCCCAGCCCTCCCTGCTGCCGTGGGTCTGCCTCCCCTGTGACTCCAAAGCCCTCTGCGGAGGGAGAACGGCCACCCCCCACCCCCCACTCAGACACCTCCCCTACAGCGAGGGCAGCCCTGAACACTGCACGGGGGTCTCAAATGGGTGTTAAAGGAGCTCAGGAAGAGACCTGCATTGCACCCTGCTCTGGACATTACGGTGAACCCCACTTCCCAGCTTGAATCTGCCCTTCTTGGGCTCCTTTGCCCCCATGTGGCCCAGACCGGGCAACTGTGCCCATGGACTCGCTGCCCCACGCTCCCACCCTTTCCTCTCCCTCCAGCCTGCCCCCCTCCTGCAGTCCACTGTCACGTCAGCTGGCCTGGGGCTGGGCCGGCCCACTGGAGAGCACCTGAAGGGCATCGCGCATTTGTCTCAGCGGGAACAAGGAGAGGCCAACACTAATCTGGGAAATTTAGATTTAAAAATATATATATTGTTAAGTTTGAGAAGATGAGAAAAAAGGAAGACCCAATTACTAGGTTACTTTCCACGATAAAAGGGCTTGTGAGGATCCTTCCCCTGCCCAGCAGCCCGGCCAGAGCCACAGCTTCTTTGCAGTGCTCCCACCCCAGCCCCACGGGGAAACAGGTTTCTTTTAGGAGGACACAAGGTGCCCACCTTATCGTTGGCGCTCGGGAAACAGCTCAGAGCAGCACTGGCAGGCCAGGGCAGGGCTCCCTACTCCTGGGAGACAGCTGGGCACCAGAAGCTAAAATGACCGTGTGGCCACCTCGAAGCCCGTGCTCAGAAGAGATGCTTCAGGCCTGCTCTGTGCCCTTCGCTGCCTCGCCAGGCTGGTCACTGACAAGCAAAGGGGCTCTGAGGACACGCCTGTGTGTGTTTCTGAATGGTTTTTCTTTTTTTTTTTTTTGAGACGGAGTTTCGCTCTTGTTACCCAGGCTGGAGTGCAATGGCGCGATCTCGGCTCACCGCAACCTCCGCCTCCTGGGGTCAGGCAATTCTCCTGCCTCAGCCTCCTGAGTAGCTGGGATTACAGGCACGAGCCACCATGCCTAGCTAATTTTTTTTGTATTTTTAGTAGAGACGGGGTTTCACCATGTTGACCAGGATGGTCTCGATCTCTCGACCTCGTGATTCACCCGCCTCGGCCTCCCAAAGTGCTGGGATTACAGGCTTGAGCCACCACGCCCGGCTTCTGAATGGTTTTTCAAATGAAAAGCCACAACAGAGTCTTCCCAACAAAATCACCTTCCCTCGTGTGCCCACAAAAGCTAAAACCAAGGGATGGCTGGGAAGGACACATGTTGGACTCAGAGAATATTAGATGAAATAGTGTTAACGACAGCTCATTCTTTAATAAAAGTCAGGGGTCTCCAGTAGCATCCCTGGTAAGACGTGGCGTGCTCCGTGACTGAGCGGCAGGCTGTGACGTGCGGGGGACGGGCAGAGCGCACCTCCCAACTGCGCCTCACCAGTACATCGCAGACAGTCCTGCTCATTCGCTGATTCATATAAAAAGTTACAAAATATTCCCTGCCCCTAATTCTTAGTTACGAAAACGAAAGAAAACCCTAGAAAGTGGTGGTTTTACAAATATATTAGCTCAGAACATCCAGGGCAGCTGCGTGGGCCGTGGGCAAGGGGGGCCAGGGCAGCACCCAGAGCCTGGCCAGTGTGAAGCCACCGCAGGAGCAACCCGAGCCCTCCGTGGCGTCTCGGGAGCAGATCGCGCAGGCCAGCCCAGTGTGTTGCCTACAGGAAGTCGAGACAACCCCGCTGCTCAGTACCCTCCACCTTTCCGTGCTATGGTGGGCAGGCGACACTGCTGCAGGCCAGGCTTAAGGTCCTTCCGTGGATCTGTCTGTCAAAGAAAAATTACAGACCAAAAATTGAGTGGCCGCCTGGGCTGGCGGGAGAGCAGCAGCGCAGAGAGGCTGTCCCGCTACCTTCTTGCTCGCGCCCATGAACTTCAAGGGTCTCAGCACCGGCACCTTCCCACTTGTTCCAGATCCAAGTGCAGACTGCAGCGTGGGGCTGGAGTAAGACGACAGTTTGGTCACCCCCGAAAGCTTTAGTTTGGGCAGTTCCATGACGTAGGCCGGCCCTTGTCTCTTGGGATGGTCCTCCTCCTGCTTTAGCGATTGTTTCTTGAAACAGAACAAACGCCAGTTGGACATAAAATGCTTTCCCCTTTACGGAAATTAGGAAAAACGCAAGAGGCTCTTTTGTACTGCTTGTGCCTAATATAATTTCTTGACTGTGAGATGTGACTGGGACACATGTACCAGGTCCCAGATACCCCACAGGAGTGGCTGCTCACCAGAGTCCCGGGCAGAGGCCAACGCCAACTTCGAGCTGAGGAGCCAGTGCGGGTGGCAAAGTGTACCCAGGCAGTGGCGCCCACCCCTCCTCCTGCTCCAGCTCCAGGGCCTCACACCCTGATGAGCCTGCCGCCTGCTTTTGGGCAGCTTGTGAGCTAAGGTTTCACTTTTTTTTGAGACAGAGTCTTGCTCTGTACCCCAAACTGGAGTGCAGTGGTGCAGTTTGGGCTCACTGTAGCCTCAGTTTCCTAGACTCAGATGATCCTCCTGCCTCAGCCTCCCAAATAGCTGGGACTACAGGCGCACACCACACCAGCTAATTTTTTTTTTTTTTTTTTTTTTGAGACGGAGTTTTGCTCTTGTTGCCCAGGCTGGAGTGCCATGGCGCGATCTCGGCTCACCGCAACCTCCCCCTCCTGGGTTCAGGCAATTCTCCTGCCTCAGCCTCCTGAGTAGTACACCAGCTAATTTTTAAAACATAGATGCGGTGGTGGGGGGGGGGTGGGCTCGCCTACGTTGCCCAGGCTGGTCTCAAACTCCTGGCCTCAAGTGACCCTCCCTTGGCCTCCCTAAGCACTTGGTTTATTGGTATGAGCCACTGTACCCAGCCGGTTTTTATATTTTTTAATAATTAAAAAAAATGTTTCATGGCATGTGAAAATTATGTGAAATTCAAATTTTGGTGTCCCCAGTTCTACTGGAGCACAGCCCCCATGTGGTTCACGTGTTGTCTCCAGCTGCTTTCACACTGCAGCAAAGTGGGGAGTGTAACAAACACCCCAGGCCACAGGGCCGCAAATACTTCCTATCGAAGTATTTTCCCTTAGAGAAAAGCATGCGACCTCGGATGAGACTGAGGGTGGGGACTTGGGTGAATGCCAGCTGGGAGTGACATCAGGGTTTGAAGCAGTCCCTCTGTCCAGGAGGGAGGGGAGGCAGGGCGGGGACAGTAGTGAGGAGGCCATCTGTGGTGACTTGGTCATGGTGAGGAGGAGGCAGGAGGCCAGAAGGCAGAGCCCCTGTGGATGACGGAAGGGTCCACAGGGGGCCTGGGCAGTTGACACAGCTGCCTCCCTGGGGGGAAGGCCACGGGAAGCTACAGGGAGAAAGTACGTTTGGGGGGAAGATCAGGAGATGGGGTTTCAGCAAGTTTGTCTTTTGGACATTCAAGCGGAGCTGTAATCGGTGGCCGGCAGGACACAGGAGCCTTGCTTTCTGGAGAGCAGCCTGGCTGCAGCTCTGGGTTACCAGGTCCTAAGCGGGCAGGGAGCACTCAGTAAAGGCTGGGAGGGGCGAGTGAGGCAGGGACGACGGGACAGATGAATGATGGAAGGGCACATAATCACACAGTTGGGGTGCCAGCCCAGCACTGGGAGACCGGGGTGACCCTGCCAGCAGATGCCACAGGGTTGCACTGGGCTAGGATGCCACACGGTAGGTGGGAAAGTGACGGCACTGTGGAAGGAAGCTGGCATCTCTCAACCCAAAATGTGCACAACCTCCGCTGAGGGGACGAAGTGCTCATCTGGGCCAGGCAGACAGCGTGGCCGGCCTAGGATGTGGGGCCTGTTACTGGCTAGGTGGGGACTTGGGCCAGTGCTGCATCTTCTTGGGTCCTCCCTCCAGGGCCACAGTGAGGCGATGTCTGCACAGTGCTTTGGCACAGAACCTGGCACCTGCATGTGGTCATCAGGCAGACACAAAAGCTCGTGCAAGGGTCCCCTCTCCAGCCTGCTCACATGGGATTTTCATCATCGATCCTGAGCTACTGGGGCAGAAAGGGCTTAAGCAAACACAACGGGGGTCCCTGCTGTTCCGACACACGGAGCCATCCACTCGCATGCTGTTCAGGCCTCGACTGACACCGTGGTCTGTCAAGGCCTCCACATCCTCAGAGAGACACGGGCCACCCCAGGGTGTCCAGTCCCCACTGAGCTAGGTGGTCTCCAGCTCCAATTTCGTTTAGTACCTGCTTTCTGCTCTCCTTTGAAATCTGCCAGCTGTTACTGAGTGGTTCCGGTGCCACAGGGTGCTCTGAAAAGCAAACTTTTCTGTGGCTGCCCAGAGCCCGCTTCTCTGTTTTCCTAGGAGGAAGGAGAAGAGAATGAGCGGCTCCACTGAGAACCGCGAGCACACGACCTGTGTAGCTTCTTTGTCTCCAGTTTGGCTACCGCGTGAGTTGTCACTAGCTCTCCTTTTCCACGAGCTGTAATCAGAGGCTTTTTTTTTTCTTTTCTGTCTCAGTCTCTGGGCCAGGAGCAGAGCTGGCTCCACGAACCACAGGCACTGCCTACCCAGGGAGTTGCAGTTTGGGATAAACTGTCACCTCCATAGTTACCACACAGGAGTGTATGGAGATACGGAACTAGAGGATCTCGGGGCAGACACGTCTTAGATTTGCATCCAGCAGGCACTCCAGTGCCAGGAAACATCCAAAATGCTCTAACATCTCAGAAGGCGCTCACACCATTTACAAGGGCTGCACGCCGGGCTCTTCTAGAAGGCTTACCACCTGTAGCCTCGGCACCAACCGCAAGTGGCCAGCCAGCCCCGCCTCCCCCTGCCGTGGAGCTGCCAACAGCCTCATTTGGGGAGGATACACCAGAACACAGCACGGTGGGGGCCCTAAGAGGCCCTGATCACTCTTCAGGATAGACAGCGGGATTCCCAAGAACTAGGAACCCTCCAGAGGGCAGTTCCTCACCCAACCATGTGCCCATGGGTCCCACCCGCAAGGTCCTGCCATCCTCCCTACAGAACCCAGGAGAGCGCCTACCTCTGTTCTTGGAAGTAGGGGTGCTGCAGGGCCTGGTGGGCGGCAATTCTCTCATCGGGATCATAGGCCACCATTGCATGCAGGAGGGAGAGGCATTGTGGGGACAAATTGGTTGTCAGTAGAGGTATTCCTGATCCCTTTTTAAAAGGAAAATCAAAATTCATAGCTCTCGACCTGTATTAAAAGCCCAATGATGATAAACGGTCATGCTGTCACCGAGTTCACCGCGGCCCGCCGTCAGGGCTGAAGACCCTGCGCAGAGGGGAACTTCTGACTCACAGTCTATGCCCGTCCCAGCCCACTGTATGTGCGCCACCAAGAGGGATCCCTGAGGTGAACGATGGGCGGTGTGTGGCAATGAGCTGTCCGTGGTTCATCGACCATAACAAACACACCACTCGAGTGGGGTGCCGACGACAGGGGAGGCTGTGTGCGCATGGGGACAGGCCTCTATGCGAAGCTAAAGCTGCTCTTAAAAGTCTATAAAAGTAGCCTGTTTATAAAAGGGGGATCTGTTATGCTATAAATGTCAGAAAACTACCTTTCCTGTAAAAGACTAATACCACCTTCCTGCATGAGAAGAATGAAATAAAGTTTAATGAAAAAAGAAGAGTCCAGGCGGGGCACGGTGGCTCAAGCCTGTAATCCCAGCACTTTGGGAGGCCGAGGCGGGTGGATCACGAGGTCAAGAGATCGAGACCATCCTGGTCAACATGGTGAAACCCCATCTCTACTAAAAATACAAAAATTAGCTGGGCATGGTGGCGTGTGCCTGTAATCCCAGCTACTCAGGAGGCTGAGGCAGGAAAATTGCCTGAATCCAGGAGGCGGAGGTTGCGGTGAGCCAAGATCGTGCCATTGCACTCCAGCCTGGGATAACAAGAGCGAAACTCCGTCTCAAAAAAAAATAAAAATAAAAAGAAGAGTCCAAAATTGTCACCACCTCCTCCCTCCCTGGGATCTGGGGGTGCTAAGTGCTGCTTGCTCCTCGGCCCACAGGCCCTTTCTGGGAAGTCCCGACTCCCCAGCCTCAGCTCCATCAGACTCCTACGAGTCCGGGAACACCTCTTCCAGGGCCGTCTCCGCCAGCAGCACCAGGGAGGGCTGCAGAAAGCCCTTATCCACTGAGCCCCTGCGGTCTATGCAGTTCCACCCAAAGGCTTCTAAGTTCTGCTTAAACTATTCAGGGAACAGAGCCTGACTCCCTGCCCCTCAGAAAGCTTCTGACAAATCTCTGTGATGCTCAAGGAAGAGCTCACCTCTGAGACCCCCCAAGTAATGGGCTCTGTCTGAGCAGCCACTCACTGGCTGTGCAGGCGCTCGCCCTGACGCAGGTTCTGACAGAGGAGTGAGTCCGCGTGCACTCAGAGCACAACACTTACTGTTTGAACTTGGTAAGGGTCTTCTGAGCAGGTGTGCCGATGACATCGTGGATTTTTGAGATTTGGTCCAATTCATTTGCTCCAGGGAAGAGGGGCTGCAGACTGGAAGGGCATGACAAGGGGCACTGAGATCATTATGTGGCCATGGCCTATCCATTCTGCCTGGTTCCTCCCCCACCCCACCCACCACCCACAGACAGGCTCACTCACACGAAACACGAGGAACTGAGCCTAGCTGCTCGTGCAGGCCCTCACCGCAGGGAGGCGCCACTCTCCCTTGTGCTCAGCCTTTGTTTCCACTTTACCAACAGGTCTGACGTGTTTTTGTTTTGTTTGTTTTTTTGAGAGTCTCACTCTGTCCTCCAGGCTGGAGTGCAGTGTTGTTATCTCGGCTCACTGCAACCTCCGCCTCCCAGGTTCAAGTGATTCCCCTGCCTCAGCCTCCCGAGTATCTGGGACTACAGGTGTGCGTCACCATACCCAGCTAATTTTTTTCTTTTGTATTTTTAGTAGAGATGGGGTTTCACCATGTTGGTCAGGCTGGTCTCGAACTGCTGACCTTGTGATCCTCCCTCAGCCTCCCAAAGTGCTGGGACTATAGGGGTGAGCCACTATGCCCGGCCCTGACGTGTGTTTTCTAAGAAGCAAAAGACAGCCACATTCCAACATCTGTCCAGCGCATTGTCTGCAGTGAAATATGACTAATTCACACTACCCATGATAAATAACCCCACAGTAAGCCTCCCATCAGCCAAGGGGAGTTTTGCTGACAAATTCGGGATGAGGGAGGTCAGGTTTTGTCACCAAATGAGTCCCAAGAAACCTTTTGGTTTCCAGAGCTTTCATACTTTTGGAATTGTGGGGAAAAGACTTTAAACCTGTATAAATAAATTCGATTCCTATTACATGTCACAAAGGTTTGAAAATACCCTCTGGTGGTCGGCCTAGCTTCTATTCCAGAAAACGGCCGGATTATGTGACTAAAGGAGAGGAGGAAACGCGGGTGAGCCGGAAAGAGCTCCTCGTGGGGAGATTATCCCAGTCCAGCTCGGCAGCTGGTGCGCTGAGCTGCCCTGTGTGCCAGTGCTCCTGACACCTGCCCCTCCAGATGAGCTCACAGGACCTGAGCTCATGAGAAGGGATTCTCACTTGACACTCTGGCTTCAGTGAAATTGCCAATCGGCTTTCCAAAATGAAAAGTTATCAGTAGGAACCGTCTGGATCAAAGGAGTGTGTCCTCAAGCGCGCATCTCTCCGTATTTCTGTAGTGGCCGAGCAGGTGGGACAGACTGTGACCCCTCAGATGCGCCACCAGACCGTACCTCACTGCTGCCTGCTAGAGGCCACCTCCACCCCCATGCGGTTCTCCACCTCTGAGTGGAACCCGCCCCCCGTTGCCTCGTCCCAGGGCCACTGCTCCTTCCCAAAGGCTGAAGGGAGTGAGGGGTTTGGAGGCTGGAGCAGGGAGGGCTGGGATTAGGGCTTTCTGGAGTTCAACTGTGCCAGATGGTACGTCATCCTCACACCAGTGGCCAGGGCACCGGACCTGATATGACTGCACCTCTCAGGGGAGGCCCGAGTCACCCCTCCCTATGGCAGCCCCCGGAGGGGCAGTGGCATGCTTCCCCTGCTCCATCACCGGGCCCCATCAAGCCCCTCACAGCAAGCCCAAGGAGGCAGCTCCAGCACTGCTGGGGTGTGTGTGAGGGGGAACTGAGGGCTGGTGCTCCACTCTGGGAGGGGCAGGCCAGGACAAATATTCCACAAAAGTAAAATGAAAGCCTAGTCTACTTGCTGTTAAATTTAAAACAATTAAACAAAAACAAAACCAGAATGACCATGACACCTGGACTGCAGGGGAAGGAGCGCAAGCCTGGCTGCTCCGCCCTCCCGCCGCAGGAGCCAGGCTGGCGCTACCTGGCGATCTCGTAGAACACGCAGCCGGCGCTCCACAGGTCCATCTTGTATGTGTAGAACCCGTCAGTGAGGAGACACTCCGGGGCCCGGTACCAGCGGGTGGAGATGTATTCTGTGTACGGCTGCTTGGAATAGACACTCCGGCAGGAGCCAAAGTCCGCTAATTTCAGGACATCCTGCTGCAAGGGGAGAGAAGCAGGACAAGTAACGTCTCATCATGTGGCTGTCGTAATACGAACCACTCCAAATATTTATGCACCAGCGGGAAAATTACTAGCATCTAAAGTCGTCTGTAAAATGCAAATTGCCAGTGTTATGAGCACCTGAAAGTGCCCCTGGCAGATGAGGAAGTGATGTTTCTATTCAGTGGAACAGGTTTACAAATATTCTGGCTATGTTTTACACATATTTCCAAATGTCCACAGGTTTTAAAAACGGTTAGGTCATGGCGCTTCTACAAATGAACGACAGACACTAGTCGTCTGTCTGGTCATGCCACAGCCGGCCCGGCAAGGGCTCTTTAGCCACGAAGCCTCAGAGGAGCCTGCTGACAGCCAGTGACAGGTGCCGGGAACAGCAAATTGTACGGCTTAACCACAGGGGATTTAGTGGCTTTCGAGTGAGATGGACCTGAGCTCAAATCCTGCCTCTGCCACATTTACTTCCAGGAGTTTCGAATGGCCATCTGAATGGGGCTCACTGTGGTCTGCAGTGTTTGAAGGGTACTTCCTGTTATTTTCTTCCAGGTGCACAGTCGGTTATGTTGCTGGCATTTATTAAATAAAACATTTTTTTACAACCTGAGAGGCAAAAAATATCGTAACAAACAAGCTGTCTAGTTACATGGACTGAAAGCTCCTCTGGTGGGAGAAGTTTTCTACTCAACCTTTCCTCTGACACCCAGCTTTCATGTAAAGGCTCTTACCTTTATGAGGATATTCTCTGGTTTTACATCTCTGTGAAATATTCCATTTCTGCATTCAGTATAAAAGGAAAAATAGAATTAATTACACTTCACTGATTCAAATTCTTGAACTTGAATGCTAACATATTTTATTAATTTCAGGCTGTCAAATCTCTAAAAGCATACCTGTGAATATGATCAAGGGATTTACATAACTGGTACATATAGTGCATAATTTTTTTTTCTGATAATGGGTATCTTCTCCCTGTACAATCAAGAAAATAGGCAAATATGGTTACTGACAGTACATATCTTCTTTTTTGAAATAAAAATAATCCATTTTTATTTAATAATGTGTGAAAATCTAACTTCCCCTGTGAAAAATAATCTGAAGTAGTCTTAGGAAATATGTAGTGTACCTAAAACATACCATTTAAATTTCCATATATTGGCCAGGCATGGTGGCTCACACCTATAATCCCAGCACTTTGAGAGGGTGAGGTGGGTGAATCAGTTGAGGTCAGGAGTTTGAGACCAGCCTGGCCAACAGGGCAAAACCCCATCTCCACTAAAAATACAAAAATCAGCTGGGTGTGGTGGCTGGCACCTGTAATCCCAGCTACTCAGAAGGCTGAGGCTGGAGAATTGCTTGAACCCAGGAGGCGGAGGTTGGAGTGAGCCGAGATTGCACCAATGCATTCCAGCCTGGGTGACAGGAATGAAACTCTGTCTTAAAAAAAAAAAAAAAAGTCTGTATACTGCCATGCTCTCATTTAAAATTACACAGCACATATATTTTTAATGGAAAATTGCTTTTTTATTTTTCTTTCTGACAGTCTATAGAGGTTTCTTTCACATCCTCAACTAGGTGTTAGGAACACCATGTAATTTTTAAGACTGTTGTCAAATCTGGGGAATCTTCTGCTAAGTTTCTTTCACATCTGCGCTATAAGATTTCATATTTCAAGTTTTCTATGGAGTGAATGCTCTTTAATCTTTGAACTGACCATATTCAGAGAATTTCTAGAAGACATCCCAAAAAGAGATGGCCAGCAATAATGCAACTATTAATACATGGAAGAGACGCAAAGCACATAAACGTATCCCAGCCACCCCTAACGAGATTCCAGACACGTCCAAGGCATTCCATGGTTACTCTCAAAGAGGGGAAGTATGACGTGGGAGAGGTTAAAATATAAGAGATGGCAGTCTTCACTTTGTGGTTGAAATATCTTATTTTTGCAAATTTAACAAAATATATAAAGATGGTGAAGACACCGAAAGGGCCTGTTTTGGAAGGCACCGGGCAAGCCAGCCCTATCAGCTGCACAGTGACTCCGCCTCTGCTCCAGCACACATGGTTTTTCTGAGTTTTGAAACGGGTAAAGCAGGTTTGGGAAACTGCCAGTTATAAAATGAAGAAACAATTGATAGACGTTATTAAAGAATGATAGAATTGTTAGTATTTTTTTTATTTTTAATGGACACATAGTAATCGTACCTATTCATCGGATCCAGAGAGTGTTATTTTGATCTGTACATACAATGTGTAAGGATGAAATCAGTGCAATTAGCACACGCATCACCTCCAACACCGGCCACTGCTCTGCAACATTCAGAGTGCATGTGCTACGGTTTCAGTGGGAATAGCACTGAGCGACGGTCGCCAGAGTAGCATGGTATGACAGCCTCAGCCAGCCTACGTTGATGATGAAAATGTTAGGAGTCACTCGTAAACCCAGTGTTCCGCTAGGCTTTCCTGTATATGTGGAGATTTCCACTTTAAAGGGGGACAGATCACAGTTCAAGAAGCAGTTCATTCAGCTGCTTTCAGTTCCCAGTCCACAGGAGGGGCCATTTAGCGCATCTGGCACAGTGCCCTGCGGCCGCCCTGTACTCAGCACCCGGACTGGCTGTGCCTTGGTGCCCGTGGCTTTCTACTATGTTTGAAGACTCTTCATACCACACACTCAGCATCACAGTTTACCCTTGTTCCAGAAGATGTCAACTTTACTTGATTTTCATTTTCAAAGTGCGTGTTTTAAGTCATTAAGTTTGAAATCTGCACAACAAGTTCACTTAACAGTTTGGAAATCCACTTTCTCTCTCCATCAGCACATATGGCATTGGACCCTTTTGGTCCTAAGTTTGCAATTTATTTTGAAAATTAAAATTATTCTTTTTCTCTACTTGTTTATAGTATATAAATAGACAGTAATTTAAATTGTAAAATGTCTAGGTGCAATTAACTTTTTCTTTTTCTTTCTTTTTTTTGGAGGAGTTTCACTCTTGTTGCCCTGGCTGGAGTGCAATAGCGTGATCTTGGCTCACTGTAACCTCCGCCTCCTGGGTTCAAGTGATTCTCCCACCTCAGCCTCCCGAGTAGCTGGGATTACAGGCACCCACCACCACGCCTCGGTAATTTTTGTATTTTTGGTAGAGACAGGATTTCATCATGCTGGCCAGGCTGGTCTTGAACTTCTGACCTCGTGATCTGCCTGCCTCAGCCTCCCAAAGTGCTGGATTACAGGCGTGAGCCACCATGCCCAGCTGCAATTAACTTTTTCACGTAATACTATCATCTTTTTATTGTTTCACATAATTTATCATCAATTTTCCAGAATTAAAATCAAAAGAATCAGAAGTAAGTTGTTAACCAGCTTTCCCAAGCTTGAGGAATTCTGGAATCTTATTCAATTAATATCTATATACAGGTGACAAGAAGGCGGCTTTGCATTCCCCTTCACACATGCAGCAGGATGAGCTGCTGGAAGATTGTCTCATCGGTGCTCCTGGGTCTTACCATCAAACCCAGTCTCACTGCCCCCCCTGACTTAGCCTGGCACTCAAGACACCCTTCAACCAATTCGTCTCCACCACAAGGGTTCCTGGACTCCAGTGAGTGGGTTGCTAAGACACAGACTGCCCCTCCCTGTCTTCAACTACCACATTTCTGCTTCAGAAGGTCTGCAGTGGGGCCCCATAAATGGCCTAATAAGAGCCCAGATGCAGCTACTAGTCCTGGGTCCTCACTTCAAGAACCATGCACCACCACAGCCTTCTTGTTTATCGAATGCTGAGAGGAAGTCACACGTGCACTCTTCTCTGGATGCTCCCAAAGCTCTCCTGTTTAGTACTTACCTTCCTGATGTTCCATCCTAGGAATGCCCTTCCCAGCCATGTCCACACATACAAATCTGACTCACATCATAAAACTATCATTAGAGTCATCTGAACTTGCGAAATGTGGAATCTTTTAGGAAAAGTCTATCCAATCTTCATAATCACCTAGGAGTCTTTTAAAAAGCAGATTTCAGGCCGGGCGCGGTGGCTCACGCCTGTAATCCCAGCACTTTGAGAGGCCGAGGCGGGTGGATCACGAGGTCAAGAGATTGAGACCATCCTGGTTAACATGGTGAAACCCCGTCTCTACTAAAAATACAAAAATTAGCTGGGCATGGTGGCGCACGCCTGTAGTCCCAGCTACTAGGGAGGCTGAGGCAGGAGAATTGCTTGAACCCAGGAGGCGGAGGTTGCGGTGAGCCGAGATTGCGCCATTGCACTCCAGCCTGGGTAACAAGAGCGAAACCCGGTCTCAAAAAAAAAAAAAAAAAAAAAGCAGATTTCAGCCAGGCGTGGTGGCTCATGCCTGTAATCCCAGCATTTTGGGTGGCCAAGGCAGGTGGATCACGAGGTCAGGAGTTCAAGACCAGCATGGCCAAGATGGTGAAACCCCATCTCTACTAAAACTATAAAAATTAGCCAGGTGTGGTGGCAGGCACCTGTAATTCCAGCTACTCGGGAAGCTGAGGCAGGAGAATCGCCTGAACCCGGGCAGCAGAGGTTGCAGTGAGCCGAGATCACACCACTGCACTCCAGCCTGGGAAACAGAGTGAGATTCCATCTCAAAAAAAAACAAAAACAAAAACAAAACAAGGCCTGAACCTAGACCTAATGGAGCCACAAACGGTAATGGTGGCCAGTAATCTGTGCTTCTCAGATGCCCTCAGTCCCAGGTGAGAGTCCTCCTCAGGTGCCCGGCATTCCTGGCCTTCTCGGGTCTCCTCCTGGAAACTACCTACTCACAGCCTCGGGGGTAAGGAGGGGTTACTGCTAGAGTAGGGTATCAAGGCAATAGTGTGGGCTCAGTGGTCTCAACAGCTGGAGACCACACTCTTGCGAAGGAAAGCTCTGCCTACCCACTCTCCACAAGCTTCTCCAGAACTTTCCGGGTCCAAGGCTGTATCTGGTTCCCATCAAATTTTTGTTTTCAAACAGTAAGTAAAATAGAGTACAATTAACAAGCCACTCAGAAGTTTCTCATGTGCCCCTTAGTGAACACCAGTGACCCCAGCATTTCCTCATCTGCTGTAGCTATCCTGACCAAGGTAATTTTTCCAAGTTATTTTTTACCAAATAGTCTCGTTAAGATGACTCTAAGGAACGTCATATTTAATACTATCAATTTTTAAAAAACTAAGTGAACACAGTGATAAACCATGGCATTCCCTGCACTTAGCACTAACTAAAGGAATACAGCTGCCAACGTGGCCTGCATCATGACGGCATCCCAGCACCACCCCTCCCAGCGAGGGTGGAGAGAACCACGACTAGCCACTCACTAAGGCAAATGAATTTTGTGTGTGTGTCCAGGTCTCATTCTGCTGCCCAGGCTGAAGTGCAGTGGTGCAATCATAGCTCACTGCAGCCTCCGGCCATCCTCCCACCTCAGCTTCCTGCGTAGCTGGATCTACAGGTGTGTGCCACCACGCCTGGCTAATTTAAAAAAAAAACTTTTTTTGTACAGACAGGGTCTCACTATGTGGCCCAGGCTAGTCTCGAACTCCTGTGCTCAAGTAATCCTCCCGCCTTGGACTCCCAAAGAGTTGGGACTACACGCATGAGCCACTGCACCTGGCCCTATGAATTTAACTTGAATAGTTAAAAAAGAGCAGAATCAGATATAGCTGTGTAAAACAGTAGCTGCCTCTATAGTCAGATTATGAGGGATACTTAACCTTTTATAGCTTTTCTTCATAAATTCCCAGACCGGCTTTCCTACTGCAGACGGCAGGAGCCCAGAGCCATAAGCGCATACATCCAAATACACAAACTAGGATCGCTGATGACGTAGCCATTCTCTATCCACCCCAATTAATAACTCACACCAAAGAAGAATCGGGACAATCTTCCAAAGTGAGTGGTGGACAAAACGCCTTCACCGTCCCTTCCCCAGGCTCCCACACCATTCTTGCCTTCGTGGCACACCCACAGACTGGCTTACTCAGGACCCATCCCAACCCCTCCATGTAGCACAGCAGGCCTGAAAGTCCAAATGACATTCTTCAGGCTGCCTTGCAGCTGTGGCTTCCAGATGTGACTTGGGCTCTGCCTAAATGGGACCACTTGGGAAGACGCTTCAGGCCCAGGTATGGGGGCAGATGAGAGAGGGAAAGCCTCCATTCTGAGGGCACAGATCACGGCTGCCTCCTCACCCTGGCAGAGGCGGCCTTATTCCAGGCCTGGTGACTGCAGCAGCTTTATTCCGCAGAGTGTTGTCAGTGGCAGGGGCAGCAGCCTAATCATGGACAGCAGCTGTGAGAAGCGACTTCCGAGAGGCCAAGCCCAGAGTCAGCTTCTTCAGTCCTCCCAGCGACTCCGGCAATCTAGTTGTATCACAGAGTCATCCCTCTGGAGTTCATCAGAGAACAGGGGATGCTGTTGTTTCCAGCTGAAAGGGAGAACCAACACACCCACTCCCAGCATATTTGGTCTTTAAATAGCAACTGGAGAATTCCTTCTAAAAAGGCACTACTCAAACCACAGTCCATAAACTGATGCCAGTTTCAGGGACTGGTTGTTACAGAATAACTGTTTAGAACCATTTATAGCAATCTGACATGCTGTGACGCACGTGTTCCCTTTTCTGGTCATTCATTTTTACTACATTTTATAAAAATTCTGGTCTACAACAGATTAGAAATAAAACAACTGGTCTTTTGCGACAGTTTTAGAAACACTGGTCTAAACACCAATTGAAAACAATCTCTCCCCTGCCTTAAAACCTGATAATGGCTTCCCACTGAACTTAGAATAACGAAAATTCTTACCCTCGCCCTACCAGCCTCACTGGTGGCTGCCTACTCCATTTCCTACAATGCTCCTCCATGTCCTCCAGCCACATGGGTCTCCTCCCTCACAGTGGCCTCAGGGCCTTTGCACTGGCTATCCCTCTGCCTCAAGTACTCAAACCTTACCACTCTCTAACACACTGGCCTGTTGTAGTCGCTGACAGCCTTATCCCTATCTGGAATTCTTGATCATGTTAACTGATATTCTTGATAAATTCTTTAAGAATTTGTTTCCTCTCTCTCCTCATCGAGTGTGAGCTCCACATGGGTGGGAAGTGTGTCTGTTGTGTTCCCCGTGTCCCTGCCTCTGGAATAGCCCATGGCACGACACTGCAAATGAGACATCCTCTCCTTCACCTGTCTAATTCTACTACTCCTCCAGGAAAGCCTTACTTCCCTAGCCCACACCATCTCTGCCTCATCTGACACCTGCTCAACAAAGAGAAAATTACCCCAGCATTTCCTTTTCTCTTATACCACTTTCATATAGTTTATGTGGACACTAGGCTATATAATCTTTCAATATCAAAAACACACATCTGACAGGCTGCTTCTGTCTTCCCGGTTCTTGCCAGACTGTGCACACTGCCATAAAGACGAGTACACAACACAATAATGGCTGTATGATCATTCCCTTATTTCATTATTACCTCATTCTTTAGTCTTTAATAGTGCTCCTCAATATTCTAATAACCTAAGAGTGGCAATTTACGTCATAAGAATGGTCATTTTGGTAGCGAAAGCCTTAGTGATTGATTCAGTTTTCACTAAGTCACTATCATCGTCAGCAGCTGGTGCTCAGTGCCTTACATGAATAAAGACACCTAATTAGTGTTGATATGTGTGGCCGAGGCGAGTGGATCACCCGAGGTCACGAGTTTGAGACCAGCCTAGCCAACACGCAGCAACTTGCTGAAAATTGTCCCATCTTGTTGAGTTATTCATTTATGTATTTATTTTTTCTTGAGACAGAGTCTCGCTTCAATGTACAATCTGGAGTGCAATGGCGCAATCTTGGCTCACTGCAACCTCTGCCTCCCAGGTTCAAGCGATTCTCCTGCCTCAGCCTCCCAAGTAGATGGGGCTACAGGCACATGCCACCATGCCCAGCTTTTTCACATTTTTGGTACAGACAAGGTTTCACTGATGGGCCAGGCTGGTCTTGAACTCTTGACCTCAAGTGATCCAGCTGCCTCAGCCTCCCAAAGTGCTGGGATTATAGGCATGAGCCACCACACCCAGGCTTTATTTTTATTTTTTGAGACAGAGTCTCGCTCTGTTGCCCAGACTAGAGTCCAGTGGCACAATCTTGGCTCATTGCAACCTCCACCTCCTGGGTTCAAGCAATTCTTCTGCCTCAGCCTCCTGAGTAGCTGGCACTACAGGCACACACAACACCCTGCTAATTTTTTGTGTATTTTTAGTAAAGACAAGTTTTCACCACGTTGGTCAGGCTGGTCTTGAACTTCTGACCTTAAGTGATCCATCTACCTTGGCCTCCTAAAGTGCTAGGATTACAGGCATGAGCCACTGTGCTCGGTTTCATATACAACAACTTTTATGGATGTAGAAAAACCTGCCTACTGCTGGGTGTGGTGGCTCACACCTATAATCCCAGCACTTTGGGAGGCCACACAGTGAAACCCTGTCTCTACTAAAATACAAAAAATTAGCTGGGCGTAGAAGCACGCGCCTGTAGTCCCAGCTACTTGGGAGGCTGAGGCAGGAGAACTGCTAGAACCCAAGAGGTGGATGTTGCATTGAGCCAGGGTTATGCCACTGCACTCCAGCCTGGGCAACAGAGTGAGACTTGCCTACCTATGCTATTTATTTTGTTAGTACTGTACCATCACATATTTTAAGTCACATATAAAATACATGAATATTGATACAATGCTTTTTCCACTATCCAACTTCATAAAAACAATTTTATTTGAACTATTCATATTTATCTTCAACATCAGTGTCTTCTTTGTCACAAAAATAGTTAATTGATCTACAAGTTTCCCATAGCACATCATCTTCAGTTTGGCCCAAATTGTGAAATACAACATCAAAATCATCTATGATGCTGTCACTAAAATTCGATTCCAAGTCATAAATAGTCACTCAAGTGACAGTAGGGCAGTTGTTTTTTATTTGTCTTCTAGGTATAATGTGATTTGTAAATGAAACACTTGCTGTGTTGCTTTCTTAGTGAGATATACAAGGTTCATTTGTCCTGACATCTAACACAACCATGAGGTCAGACCCCCAGGAACACTTTGCTTGTTGTGGGCCAGCCAGCTCTCTCCTTTTCTCCTGTTCCCCTTAGGGACCTCTATAAGTATCCGACACCAGCCCTGACTGAGGTCATCTCAGGCAAACATGCTCTCCTAAACAGTGCTTCATTGTTCAGAAGAAAGGAAATGAACGAGCACCCTGGAAAATGGCAGGAGCTTCCCTCACACGCAGGGGACGATGTTACAGGGAAAGCTCTGCCTTATAGGCATGGAACAGAATATTGAGTAACAGCAGATCCGGGGAGCAGAGAGGCCCCCCAAGCCAGCAGGCCTGTGTGCATGTGCCCATGGCAGGGCTGGCTGCGGGCGCTCTGCAGCACAGCCGCCCCTGCTGCCTCCCGCCATCCTCGCCCAGATCTCATGTGCACCCAGAGGGCCTGGGGCTTCCTTTCTTGTTTGCAGCCATGTTCTGAGCAGACAAGCCATCAGGGAACTCCCTACTCGTGAGTGAAGTGGTGCTGTACAGTGTATTATATATAACTATGGCACTGTGATGACTCGGGATGTTGGGAACAACTAAGCACATATGAATTGCAAGCCTTAAAAGAGGGCCTTAGATTAGCTTTCAAATTATTCTACGTACCTCGTATTAGCTCATAAATATTCATGTCCATAAGTTCACATATTAGTGCAAGAGAACCAGATTTTCTGTCACTGAAGAAGAAAGCAAGTTTTAAAAATAATTTTTCTTGCCTTAATCAGAAAATATAACCCAATATTTAAATCATTTGTAAATATTTTTAGTAAACATAAGGCACTCCCACATGAAATACTACAGTATAATTGCTAAAACTAAGTAAAGGCTTTTATTTTAAATCAGTATTTCAGGTATCATTAATAAAAATACGAGCAAAACTCAACTCTGAAAAAAATTCTGAAAGTTGAGCAGGGCGTGGTGGCACGTGCCTGTAGTCCTAGCTACTTGGGAGGCTGAGGTGGGAGGATCACTTGAGCCCAGGAGTTCCGGGCTTGAGCCCAGGAGTGTGCTATGCCGATCAGGTGTCCACACTAAGTTCGGCATCAATATGGTGACCTCCCAGGAGCAGGGGACCATCAGGTGGCCTAAGGAGGGGTGAACCAGCTCAGGTCGGAAATGGAGCAGGTCAAAACTCCGCTGCTGATCAGTAGTGGGATCGTGCCTGTGAATAACCACTGCACTCCAGCCTGGGCAACATAGCGAGACCCTGTCTCTAAAAAAAATAAAATAAAATAAATAAAAAAAAAAAAGTCGAAAACAGATATATCTTCAAAATATACAATTAACTATCAGCAGAAAGAAAAAGATTAGGGAGTTGGCAAGCAAAACAATAAAAGAGGCCAGGCGCAGTGGTTCACGCCTGTAACCCCACTCTTTGGGAGGCTGAGGTGGTAGATCACTTCAGGTTAGGAGTTTGAGACCAGCCTGGCCAACAAAGTGAAACCTCGTCTCTACGAAAAATACAAAAATTGGCTGGGCATGGTGGCATGCCTGTAGTTACAGCTACTCGGGAGGCTGAGGCAGGAGAATTGCTTAAACCTGGGAGGTGGAGATTGCAACGAGCCAAATCTGTGCCACTGTACTCCAGCCTACATGACAGTTTCTTGAGACCCCGTCACAAAAAAAAAAAAAAAAAGAAAGAAAAAATTAATTCATGCTCCATGACTGCAAATTTAATTTTAATTTAGCTAAATTCCTTCCACGTAATTGGGATAAATCACACGGAAGAGCAAAAACCAAAAAGCAGTCAGGGGAAAAGGAGAAAAACGAGTCACATTACAAAGTGTGTGATATCCGTGCTGACACAGAATGGGGACAGAGACTGCTAGCTGAGCCACCAACTTCTCCTGAGTTCAAGCAGGCCCTTAAGAGTTCCCAGAGTCGTGAGCAGGAGCCTGTATCCCCAGATTCTACTCTCGGTGCCTCCAGTCTGGCTGGAAGGGGTCTCAGTTGTTAGGAACCCCACGTGAGACTCTGGACAGAAGCACTTTGTAAAGGGTGTGGAAAGCGCATGATGTGCATGCAGTTTTGAGACCATTACATACGAACTGCAGTCTCTAGACCTGGCCCAAACTGACTTCTAAGAACGCTACAGGCCAGGAAGTCACATAGTTATAAAAAGACATTTCACTTTGAGTTTAAAACTGTTCCATCCTCTGATTAAAATTTACTAGACTTTAACTGGCAGTGCCTGGAGTTCCTTGGCAGATCTTACAGGCCAGCCTCCCTCAGAGGCACAGTGAAGCTTCTACACCAAGGTGCCCCCTCTCAGAGTGGTGGTGCCCTTCTAGTCCACAGCATCCCAAAATCCTGTAGCCTGACTCCCTGGCTCAGCGGGGTCTGTAAGCGCAGCACAAAGCTGCCAGGAAGAAGGCTTCCCAGGCTCAGGAAGGCACTAAGGGATAAGCTGTGTTCTGCCTTCTTGATTGATAGATAAACTTTATGGAAATATTCTATAATTAGAACAGAAGTGAAAAATCCCCAGAAATGTTATCAATTATAGTAAGAAAGACTACAGGAGACTGTTCAAAAATGACAACTGGCAAGGATAGAGTGAGAATGTACAATCCCTGAAATAACACAACAGTGCTTTCCCGGTAGGCCAAAATTCACTCTCAAGACCTCAGCAGCCTAACTGAGCTACAGAAAGACTATTTGCATGACAGATGCTTTTATGATGTGGAGTCACCTAAATGAAAGCATTCCACATTAAGAATCAGATGTTGGCCAGGCGCAGTGGCTCAAGCCTGTAATCCCAGCACTTTGGGAGGCCGAGGCGGGTGGATCACGAGGTCAAGAGATCAAGACCATCCTGGTCAACTTGGTGAAACCCTGTCTCTACTAAAAATACAAAAAATTAGCTGGGCATGGTGGCACGTGCCTGTAATCCCAGCTACTCAGGAGGCTGAGGCAGGAGAACTGCTTGAACCCAGGAGGCGGCAGAGGTTGCAGTGAGCCGAGATCACGCCATTGCACTCCAGCCTGGGTAACAAGAGCGAAACTCCGACTCAAAAAAAAAAAATCAGATGTTGGCTGGGCGTGGTGGCTTAAGCCTGTAATCCCAGCACTTTGGGAGGCTGAAGTGGGCAGATTACCTGAGGTCAGGAGTTCGAGACCAACCTGGCTAACGTGGTGAAACCCCGTCTCTACTAAAAATACAAAAATTAGCCAGGCGTAATGGCTGGCACCTGTAATCCCAGCTACTTGGGAGGCTGAGGCAGGAGATTGCTTAAAACCAAGAGGCGGAGTTTGCAGTGAGCCAAGACCTCACCACTACACTCCAGCCTGAGTGACAGAGAGAGACTCCGTCTCAAAAAAAAAAACAAAAAATAAAAAAAAAATAGAATCAAATGCACATTTTCCCAAATAAAAATGTGGTG